AGATCGAGTCGGCATGTTCCACGACAATCTCACTCGCGTCAATGACCAATATGGAGCCGGTGATAACGTCGAATCCTGGTTAGTTGTATCAACTACTTACACTATGACGGTTAAGAGCTTGACCTCGAGACCTCCATAATGAACCAGTGGCTCCAAAACTGCTGTTGTGGAAATGGGACTCATTGCGTCGTCAATAATCGAAGAGCTCTTTCTTTTCACACCCGCTCATCTCCAAGTATCACTCTCATCTGTCGTATCTATACTACTCGTTATAGCTTTTTAAAAGCACTCGACTTAAAAATATTAACATAACACCTTCCAGAATGGGTACCTACATTTAATCTTCAGGCCATGGTTAAGCGACAGCTCAAAGTCTCAAGTTAAAACGAGACATCACAGCCAATCCAATAATGGATCCAGAACGCGCATTTCGCTTTACTTGGCAGTAGATTGCATTTTCTCCATGCGCTAATACCACAAACCTATTCGGCAGGCACTTGCCATTGTCATTGACCCGTGCCTTTGATGTATCTAATGAAACAGACATGAGAGCCAAATGTGTGGATCTTTGCGATTCGTGTGGACGCCTGCAGAGAGATTTCTGGGCTTATACGCAAGGGTTACTTCAGGATACGGACAGGTCATTAAGGAATCAGCGTAGGGCTCAAAAACAGGTTTTTTATAACAGTTCATGGGCAGCCAGTCCCTTAAAGCTTTCTGGTCGTCGAGATTGCCAGGATCTGAATAACAAAAGCCGGCTCACGAACGATTTGCGCCTGTCAGGTTGACCAGCAAGGCATGCAATATGATTCGTGTACTCGATGCAGTTCGAGGTACTCGGTGGACAATCGACCATTCGCGGGGAGAGAAGAGAGAAAGTCGTGGCTCATGACTATCAGGCTTCGGCCCGTTTGTTCTACGGGCATGGTTACGAATATACTGACGATGAACGGTTCAGCACCTGTATGGCTGAAAGGGCTTTTCAGTGTTGTGTTGTCTCTCCTGAGTTGTCTTCCGAGCGGCGTACTATGGGATCTTCAGCGGAGCGTGCATCAATTGTACTTGAGCGAAGCGAATTTCCAGGTGTGACATGTGACGCACGCTCCTTCCAGGATGAGAGACAAGGAGAGACTTGGGATGATGGAATTACAGACGAGATTATTTGTACAGAGGTTCTGATTAGTGCTGAGGCACGATCATGTTGAACCAAATAACGAGCCTGACCAACAAGAAGGCAAATCTAGCCTTTTCTAAAACTACTAGGGTTCGAGTTCATGTTCTACGATTATATCTTCGAGAGCCCAAAGAAGAAGACCTTTACATGGCCTAAATAGAAAAGGGACTACTTCATACCCCCAACTCCGACATATTTCCCATTCTTGGGCCTTTGCCGGTATTATTCAAATTTACAACGTCGTACTACGAGGCGCAACACGGGGGCCAAAGCAAAAACAGCCGGTCCAGAGAAGTCATACGCACAAGAGGGCAATACTAAAAGAGGACATACAACATCCTTGATCGTGTTATTACTCATAGCAGTAGCACTATCACAGGTGCAGGTATGACGGGAGCTTCGCTTAGTAGCTACTCCTGCCACTGCCCACTAGGAGACTTGCAGTCTCGCCACGATATCAAGAGACATACCTATCGCAGGAATTAGTGTCAATATGCCCACGCTCCATATCCCCGAAGTTCTCCCCTCGCACATATAAAATCTACGGGTATGGCGAGGATGCATCCCCTTGTTCCAAGACTTGAAGATTGGTAGCAATTTATACGCTGTTGGCAGTTATCTTACAACTCACCAAGAAGCAGAAGCCGCACTTTGCACGATTCCATCCGATTTGCATGAGATGTCGAGTTCTCCTCCTCTCTTGTTCTTTGCTTCTTTTCCTACCTACCAGCCATTACCGCATCCCATATTCTACTTTAACCTTCGAGAAATATTCCTCTTAACTATACAAGCTCACACTATCAAGATGGCTAATGACATCTTGCCCAAGACTGAAAGAGAGTGGAAATGGTCCACTAGGAAATATAAGTTGAAGAACCAGAATCTAGGTGACAGCCTTGAATCTCCCATGCGATGAGATTGGCTGCTATGTTGAAGACATTGCAAAGCAAGGATAGCGATGTTGTGAGTGAGCTTTCGCTCAGTATCATTATCATATACGCTCCTAGAAAGGGGTGGCTCTCGTCAGAGTTAACCAAAGTCTCGTTGGATGTCAACACTTGGTTTGTTCACCATGCGTGCTGCTTAGCATCGACCTTGTAGAAGGCATTCTTCGGGTAATAGTGCTTGTCTGTCTGGATAATTGGCTTGAATTGCTGAGTCAGTGTCAGGCTTTCCTGATGCTCTGGATAGGAATTCATAGTTTTGTCTACTCGGCATAACATAGTATACGGTGGGGTTATAGTCTAGTAAGGGGGTGTTTCACGGAACCAAACTTCGTTTATGATGTACTCGTGTTATATTAGAAATGTCTGGCTATAAGTGGAAGTTTAACTGCGGTGAAGACGTGAAGATGATCAGCGCATAACCGTGTCGTTCAATGCCCATTTGGGAGACTTCAAAATGTCAAAATTATTATAGCAGATAGCCATTGATAAAGCCATTCTTCTCTATAGGAGATATATTCAAGTAACTGTTCAACCCCGTGCATATACGTGCAGGACAGATAAAAAAATACAATACAACCTCCTTACCCTACCTAGATCCTACAGTTAACACCGCCCCTCCTCCAAAAGCCGCCTCGAATGCTCAATCTCATTATGGTCAAAGCAGATACCCATGACCTTGAGCATTTCCGCAGCTACAAGCAGTCAGCATACATACGTCCATCATTTGGCAAAGTGAAAGAAAACTCTTACCAGTCATCCTCTGCACAGACGGGTCATTCTCATCCGCCCCGTTCAGCCGGGTACACTTCAAGATATAATCAACCCGCGGTTGGCGTGCTTTCTCATAGATCGCAAGTCGGGATGAGATATCCTCGGCTTTTGTACCTAGTGGGAGGAGAGTCGCTATGCTTAGGGCGTCCTCGATGGCCATTGCGGCGCCTTGACCCATATCTTTTTATTTTTTGTCAGCTTCATATCGACAAGGTAACCTTCCAAATCACAAACACTATTGTCAAGAAGAGAATTGAAAAGGGAACAAAAGAAAAAGGAACATACAAGGCTGAAACGGATGCGCTGAATCACCCAAGAGTGCAGCTCTCCCCCTAACCCAAGTCGGCATTCTCTCCATATCAGCCAACTCCCACACCTTCAGATCATCACCCGCCATATCGATCAACCTGCGGACCGAGGGAGCGAAGCCCGAGAAGCCCTTCTCCAGCGCCGATTTGTCACCAGCTGCCTGCCAGCCTATTTCTTATAATCAGTATTAGTTTTCCAGATATGTAGATATAGATATCCAGTGTCTGTGATGAGGAAAAAATACTGGTACAGTACATACCCTCACCATACCTCCCCGACTCAGCTGTCGGCATGAACCCGCAGAGGTTAAAGATCTTGTTATTCGAACACGGATATGCAACGACTCGTCTGTCGTCACCTGCCCATTCGACGAATACGCCTGGGTCCCCGACTACGTCTTTTGTGGCTTCGTGGTTCTTTAGATCTTCTGTTTTGAGGAGCCACCGGAATGTGGACTTTCCTACTGGGTAGGGGGAGGGGAAGTTGGGGATGATGTGGGTGCGGAGGATGGACTGGCTTGGTTAGTTTTGTTATATTCTTACCCTGGCATAGGGGTTAGTTGGTGGGTTAGATTGGAGACGTACATGTAGACCATCTGCGCCAAGTAAAAGGTCGCAGGTAAATTCATGACCATCGTCTAGCGCTACGGTGGGTTGGTCGCTTTCGATGTTGATATTGGTGATTTTGCATCCCAGGTGGAGGGTGGCTTGGGTTCGGTTGAGACGTTCCTTGAGGTAGTTGTGGAGGTCGACGCGGTGGACGAGGTACCATTCCTGGTTTTGTTAGTTTGGTATTATGATGTTCGACCAGGTGGTCTGGGTAGAGAGGTAGAGATGTATGAGCATACAGCCTGCCACTGGTGACGGATGCCGGAGAGCTCTTTACAGTACTTCAGTTCCCCGTTGGAATCATATCGATGGATCTGTATGTTATCTTAGCTTGTGTCTAGCTAGAGCATTCACTACCATGGTAGGCAAGTATGTCTCATACCTGTTCAATCAAAGTCCCTCCAAACTCCTTCGGATCAACATCCATCCATTGCAACATCGCTGTGCAATTCGGGGGCACGTGGATAGCTGCGCCTGTTTCTCTTGCGAACTTGGACTTTTCGATGACCTGTCATAGTGAGCCTGTTAATTGTGTGCTCTATCATATACTTTGTGTCTTTATTCAAAGCCATAAGAGCGTCAATGAACGCAAGTGAGTCTCGTACAGTAACATGGTGACCCTGTTTGCTCAGAGCAATAGCCGCGCTGAGTCCAGCAATGCCAGCACCGATAATGATAATGCGGAGGGGGGTCGGGGTATCGTCGATTGGCATTTTGGTCTTTTGCTCTTCCCTATTTGGCTTTTTTTGTATAGAAGTTCTATGATACATTCAATCGAAGAAAAGTGTCCTACGTCGCAATACTTATCACTAGTAGTATAGTATGTGGGCTCGGCCTTCGGACTCGGACATGTTGTTGATTTCCCCTCGGGGATAGCGAGTGGATACTTGAATTTTCTACCATCTTGAGTCAGTCGAGATCTACATGAAAAGGTGGAGCGAATATCTGCCGGACGGGCCAATTGTAGTCTGGATGGCGGAAACGGCATGGTTGACTCGGCATCGACCGGATCATACATTCGAAATAGTGGTGTAAGGGGGGGGGAAACGATGTGATTAAAGAATTTGACTGAATGCATGCATTTGGAGAACTTTTCGACTCAATCTGCTATAGTAGGGATGGGGGAGGGGACTAGGAGGTGTAGGTAACTCTATAGATGAGTATTCGTTTAGCAATCAATGACCCAAGATCGAGGATAAATGTTTCTCGATGTTGAAATATCCGTTTTATATTCCATGAAATCCGCTAAATTCAAAAATGGAGATGATATCAAGCAACCTGTCTTGTAGAATCACTCCAAAGTACGCAATACATTTATCCATCCAAACGCCAACCGCTCAATAAACCCAACACCTTCCAGAAATCCAAACGTAGATAAACCAGTAGTAACCCAAAGCCAAGCAAACCAGAATCAGAGCTAATCCTCCGAGTAAGCCATCCTTCTAAGAATCATAAACACCAGCGCAACCAATACGCCGATAATAGCTCGATCCAGCCAGGGATCCTCAGACTGCTGTGAAGCAACAGCCTGCGCAGGATACGGAGCAACAGGTTGACGCGGCGCCGGCGCCGCCAAAGGTGTTTGCGCATCCGGCCCTGGTACTGAAGTGGAGGTAGCAATAGACGTAGAAGGAGGAGAAGGAGCAAACGCAGCCTGAACACCTTCCGGAGCTGACTGTTGCTGCACTGGCTCCTGTGATACAGCCACGGGCTCATTCGGCACTCTCTTCTCAGACTGTGCCTCCTGTCGAGTCGCATCGGTATCACTCTTCTCACCCTCCTCCTTAGATGCCGGAGATACAACCCTCTCATCCCCCATATCCCCAACCTCCACCCCGTTCTCCTTGCAATAATCCCGCCACTCCCCTAAAATGGCCTCGTTACTCTTCCCACAAACCTCACAGCACCAATCCCCGCTCCGGCGAGCATAATCCCTCCTCACCTCCTCCGAGACATCCAAACCACCGACCTGCCCCTTTGCATCTCCGTCCATGAAGCTCCTGATCGCCAGCAGCGCAGTCCGAATCCCCCACGCAGGCTGCCACGTCTCCTCATGGTGCCCCGAGATACTGAGGCAAATTTCTCGATTGACTTCAAAACGGCCCGAGGGGGTAAGGAAGCGGAAGCTCGGAGGTCGGAGCGGATATGTTGGGGGTAGGACTATGCGGCCGTGGTAGATTCCTGAGGCGTAAGGTGAGGGAGCCGGGGGGCCGGCGATTGTGAAGTGCCAGTCGTACAAGTTCGAGTCGGAGACAGGTTGAGCGTGGAAGTGTGGGGAAGGGGAGGCGGATAGCTCGGCGGCTTCTTTCATTAGACGGCGGAGGGATGGCGACATTTTGAGTGGTTGTGAGGTTGAGTCTTTCTTTGTTGGCGTAATTATGGTTTGGATTTGCGATTTCGTGGTGGCGGTTGTTATTGTTGTTCGGGAGGTTATGGTTGGTGAGTTAGTTTGGTGAATGGCATGTGCTGCGGTACTAAGGGCATGCAGCGACTATATGCACACCATCAGGGGAAAATGGATTGTTGGTTGGCTGGTTGATTAGACAATTTACATGATGCCAACTGTCCAGTCGCCGAATGACGTTTTCGGGCTGTTGTTGCCATTGTTTTCAGGCATCAACGACGGCGACGCCTACTATGATTACACTTCCTACGATATAACGAAATATCACATGAACCTTCTATCATTAAGGACTGATATTGACAGAACTCCTGGCTACCAGCCTAGTATGCAACCGTTACGCCCACAAGGACATCCACCTGTAATATGAACACAGTATACGTACCTACATAAATCATAGTAGTATGCACAAAAATGAAAAAGGCAAAGAAAAGCCGCTAAATATAGACCATGATCAGTTCTAATCCCAGTCTCGCCATTCGTCCGATTGTTCATGTCGCTTGACCGGCACCCCAGGTTTTCGCGATGCACCTAAGTGATCATTTCGACTCTGCAGTAAATCATGATTCTCCTCCACATCTTCGAAATCACTGTCTCCCGGTCTTGGACGCGGTGACATCGGTGCCAAGGTCTGCATGGATACACCCGTTGGAGGGCGCTCGGTTTCCTGATAGGCGTTAGACGGCTGGTGGGGCATGTACATTGACGGTGTTGCGTCCGTCCCAAGCCAGCTCCGACTGTTGTGCATGTTACGCTGGTAGAGGTCCCGATAATATTGTTGTTCTTCACTAGCCTCCTGCTCCCGTCTCTGTCGCACCCTGTCCTGTGCTTCAATAAATTTCGCGCTGGGCTCCCAATGCCAACCGTCGCCAGTCGTAGTGTGCACCGGAATTAGCCAGAGAAGTGGCCGGTCACCAAACAAGTGTAAGAGATTCAGACGCCATCCATGATCAAAAGCGTTCGGCATCTTCTCATTATCCTCTTCATCAAGGTAAGTATGGTATCGATCATGCTCGCGTTGCCTCTCCAACTCGGCATATGATCGCGACAGGGCCTGTTGGGCGGGCGTGCCCCCGGGACCCGATTGAGAGTATGCGGGCAGGGACTCCTCTCCCTCCTCCGGCCGGGTGACGCCGGGAATCGCATTTGCATGAGCGTCCAAGATCTGATTACCATAGTCCTGAAGCCGATGCCCGAGACTTTCTGGGTCGTCGTTTTCATGGCCATTGTGACTATTACCCAGTATGTTTTCGTAGCGGCGACGATCCAGCGCTTTCCGCAACGGAGATACATAGCGCGTCTTCTCTAAACACTCGATCGTGGTCAAGTTACGCACCGCGAGACTAATGTGCCAGATGGTAAATCCCGACAGCACCAGCCCTATAATCCCTCCGAGTATAGCCAACAATACCACATTCACAGGCAATATGGTTTCCATATACCGCGTATCATTCAGCACCTCGGTCCATATCCAACTCGATGCCACCGCGAAATCAACCCAGCAGAAGATCGATGTATAGATAAGAAACAGGAGAAATGCCTTGTAGTTATGCAGCCCAACGCACGTCGCCAGCCACGGGCAATGGTGATCCATCTTCAAAACACATCGCTTACACGTCGAACAGTGATGCGCCCGATCCGGTTTGGGACACTGGCATTTTTTGCAGAACCGGGACCTTCCCATGGAATTCACGGTATATGAAGTGAACTCTGGCAGTTCCGTTACCGGCAGAGCGCTGTATTCATGTCGACTATTGGCCGACAATGGTGAGCCGGGGTCAGTGAATACCGCAACACTATACGAGGCATTAAGGCAAATATAGAGGGCAATGCCGATGATCGAAGTCGGTAAGCCTGGTGGTCCAAAGCAGTCAGTATGCGCATTCTCGCGGGCTCCGAGTACCACGGGAGAAACCTACCGATCCACGAATTCCGTGACGGCCTTAGACCAATACTAGCTTCAACATAGACCGCCCATGTTGTCAAGCCGTAGACGAATGCTAATGGGAAGAAAGACGCCGCCGCGCAGCAGTAGCGTTCACATCGGAGAGCCCAAGCCCGAGGACGTCGTTTGGGCCAGGATGGTGACGATGGCGGCGAGGCGGCTAAAGTCGCCATCATGAATATCCGAGGTACAGTATGGAGCCAGTCGATGGCTTTATCATGAATCTATTTGAATTAAGAGACTTAATTCATCGCGATAAGCTGTGCTTCCTCAAACGCCGCGGTAGGTCACGGCAAACCCAAGGGTTGATGGTAAACGGTAAGAATTAAGAAATTAAATGGAATACAGAGGGGTGCAGCAATACTGCAACAGGAAAAGCAAGACAGACAACAACTGATAGAGTGAAAGGGCACTGGGGTAGCCAAGGAAAGAAAATGAAATTACGAAATCAAGTGGTTGAAGCGGATCGATCGTCCTTCCAAGATCGCCGGGAGTGGAATCGTCCGTAATTACCGCCCGCGGTATTACGGCAACACAGCCCATCCGTGTCAAGACAGGATAAATTTAGAGTGTTTTTTCATGGCTGTGCTGTCAGTGGCTCAGCCACGTTAGTTGTACGTGTCGACCCCAAAAGTACGCGCAATGACAAGGTTACAGAGGTCAGTCTAGTTTGTATACGCCTATCTAGATGGCTGTATTTCCTTCTACCAAGTAAAATTCAATACAGGTATAGAGTTAAATCATCAAATCCCATTCGTCCCCGAGATGGAGACGCTCATCACAAAAAAAGTGATTATACACGCGATGCCCTTGCAAGGGTATAGGTAAAAGCACAGGAAATAAGCGGCAATCATCACTCAACGCCGCCAGTCAAATGCCGTGAAGATGTCCCGAAACAGAGTATGAGCCCAAAACAGTTTACAGCTATGAAGGCAGGTAGAATCATTATGTAAACAAATGCGATAGAGTCATCAATAAGTAGTAGAAAGGCGAAAAGGAAGAGTAAACATAATCAGTTGCCGTTCGTGGTGGTGGTATTGGTGATTGTGAAGGGCTCCATGCCTTGTTCACACCAATCGTGCACGGGCTATTTCCAGTCAGCTAGAGATCAAATACAGGCGAGAGCATCTTGACTTACCAAACAGCTCATTCTATAACACCAGGAGCAATTTGACTTGGGGTACTTGTAGAAGTTCACAATCAGGAGGATGAAACCAATAATAACTGCTACCAAAGCTCCAGCCCGGACCAACCACCATGCCCACCATAGTGGTTTCCGCCCCTTGAAGAAGCCCAATGGACCAGATGTTTCGGAAGACGAGTTCGGACCCGTGCGTCCCTTGAAGAGGTTGACGAAACTTGGGCCAGTCGTCGTTTTGTTCTCGTCATCAGAAGTGGGACCAGCACCACCGCTCATCGCCACATAAGGGTTACGGGCGAGCCCAATGCGCTCCCGGAGTGCATTGGGCGATCTCATTATGCAGAGACCGAGGGCCAGGCCCATGACGAACCCACCAATATGGGAGAAATTATCCAGGCCCGGTAGTAGACCCAGCACGAAAGAGATTCCCACGCCAAGGACCATGATAATCAGTTCCACAAATGGCGACGGTCTTTCTTTCCAGGTGTAGAAAAGATCCAAGATGAAAAGTGCAAGAATGCCAAATAGGGCACCTGAGCATCCCGAAGAGGGTTGGAACGGAGCCGCATAGTTACCTCCAAGGACGAAACCCCAGATACCACTGGCAAAGTAAACCAAGGCATATCGCCACCATCCGACCATCCGTTCCATATCAACTCCCATCGTCATTTGACAAAGCAAGTTGAAACCAATGTGAATAAAACCACCGTGAAGGAATATAGGCACGATAAATCGATACCACTGGTTGGGCTCCGGTTGGTCATCGACGGAACCACCGACGTGCGGATTGGGAACACCGCCGAAGCCACACAGTTCGGATAAGGTGCACTCCAAAGCATTCGTTGTTGAATTCGGGCAAGGCATGAGGAAGTCGACCGGAGAGTTCTGTACCTTGTCGACATTCTTCATACATGGCGCGTACCGCGCTCCCATGTTGATTTGAATGTACGCGGAGGGTCCTATCATCGGATTGAATTGAGGTTTTGTCTGAATCGGGGATCCTGTGAGTTGTCCTACGGGGCCAGTTAGTCCAGCTAAATCTTGTAATTCTTCGCTTGTGGTCTGGCATACCGCTCTTGACCAACTCCGCGATGAACACCGCAATTTGTACCACGGTGAGGATATAGGTCACGAAGGGGACTTTCTTCTTGAAGAAGCCCTTCTTCGTCCCTCTAGCTCGGTTTGGGGCTGATTCCAACATCGCCGGGTCCGGGGGGTAATGCGTTGGTTGCTGCATCCAGTTGGCAGGTGGTGGGCCGTTTGAGTATTGAGTGTTCTCCTTCAGGGGTATGTTCTCTGCATAATGATCTCCTTCGTTTAACCTTCCGCCTGCCACATACGCGCCCTGATCGGACCCTAAGGAATGCTGGCTGTCTCGGATGTGAGGGGGTTCAGAGTCTGCGTAGGGGTGTCCACTGGGGCCCGTGTAAGTGGGCGCTGGTGATTGTCGATGGAACGAGTCTGTATGAGGGATGGCTTGTTCGTACGTCGGTGGGTTGTTGCTGTACCCAGTGTTGTAGTAGCTGTTCGCTGCCATCCTGAATGGTCAGCCGATTAGGCAAGGGGGGACGCAAAAGAAATTTCTCTTTTTGGCGGTCTTCGCTGATGTGATAAGAAGTTGAATTATGGTTTTCTTGCGGGGAAAGGAAATATATTCCACTGTCTAACCGAGTTGACGGACAGGAAGAGCTGATGATCAGACGTTCTGACCCATGCACGGCCACGTTTTGGCGGCTGACGACAATGGCGGAAACCCAGGCAACCCCTTAGAAGCTATCGGGGATTAGAGAATGACCGCGGAAGCTTATGTGCACGCAACAAAGGATAGTGGAGAAAGGTGTCGGATGAAGACTATGGTAAGATGGCAAAGTTCTATGCAGAGAGCGAGAAAAAAAGAAAACAGAAAAACGAATAGGATTCTAGACAGATGATATGCCTTTCTATTGTGTATCGAGAAGAGGCTGAAGTTGTCAGTAAGTGTGATGTTAGGCAGTCAAATTCGCGGGTGTGGCACTATTTTTGGGTTTGCCGATCAATTATCGTCGTCAGCAGTCAAAAATGAATGTTCCCCCAAGCAAATAAACTACCCAGGTGTCAGTGAAACCCCCCGGCCACGCACTCCTGGATGACGAACGAATCCCTAAGGCTGAGCTGTCTTTTGTGGCTGGTGTAAGATTTTACCTCCACCACTAGCCTCGTGTTTACTCCGGTCCTGTTCCTATTGAACGGTGGCGTGTGTACTTCGTATTTAACTTTTTTTTTTCCCTACCCTGCCCCCCGACGTAATTCCTTAACAAATCGCAATGTTCGGTGTGTGATAATTAATTGTATTTTTATACAACTTGCTCGTACTGAGTTTTCTAGTTCAAGCGTTTTTCGTGTAATTTAACACCCATGTACTTTAACATCCCAAAGGGTTACTTGTACATGGACTCGTATTTTGACATTAAGCATTACTAAACGTGTACCAATGACCATGTAATAGTCAACAGACTGTCCACACTTCCTCCGGTAGTCAAGAAATCAAAAAGATATATGTGAAAAAAAAAAAAAAAAAAGGCGGATCTCTGGTCCAAACGGTCTGGCATTAGGTCCCGCTGGACACTTAAGCTTCGAGTACACATTATCTCTTGCCCAAGCCCGGAAGTACTCGTGCTCACATTATAAGTCGGTCCTTACCATTCAATTCATTAAATCTTTGCGGCGAGCCGCTTTCCAACATAGACGAAAACCAAAACGCCCCGTGCTAACTCCATAATAAACAACAAAGTATATGTAACAATCTAGAGAGTGAACGGGATATCGTTAGCTTTCACGGTGATATGGAGTAGGCTAAACGAGACGTACCACCAAGAATGATCTCCCAATGTCTCATCGATACGAAAGCACCAATGCAGAAGGTAAATCACCGAAAAAAACATAGTTTTTGAGATGTGTATTTATACCATGCGAGTTGGTTCGGTCTCTCTCACAACGCACTCTCCCCAGAAAATGACGATAGAGAGCCAACATGAGTCTCCAAGATACCCAAAGCGGTACCCATATCCTCGCTGCTATGGCCGGTCAACAACCATACGAGGCGGGTCAGCTTCTGGTAGAGTAGAGTTGGGAAATACAGAAGTAGGGCCCAGAAGAGCAGTGATAGCACCACAATCACGAAGGAGTTGGCCACGAGTTTCTCGCCCGGGGTCATGACGTAGAGTCCGAATGTGACTTCATACCGGTAGTATTCGAGACGAACACGATCAGCAAACCGCTGTATGGCATTCCGACGAGGGTTCTTCATCATCAGGTGGCTAACACTTGGGGCGTTTGGGTTCGTAGAGCTCGACATGGTGGAAGAGTATTTATTAATCAACTCGTCGACCGCAGCGGGAGCATGGGAGATGTGCGTCGAGGTCGAGGGCGTGTAGAAGGACTGCATTTCGGTTGCCATTGCGTTGTATATCACTGAAGCAAGCTCGACGCGTCTGAGAAACAGGTATTTTCAATGTTTCTTGAGGGTCGTTGTTACCCTTCGAGCTTCTGACTCCTCGGACGTAGAGTGGAGAGCAGTCGCGTGGTTTCCCGAGACTGCTCCACTTATACTAGGATTATTATTATTCAAAGTCAGGCACCGTAGGCCGCCAGGCCACTAGACGGAACTGAGCGCGAGTTTCTGAGTCGACTTGGTTCTTCAATCAAGGAGGGACAAGGAAATCGAACAATAGACGACGCGCAAAGTACACCAAAGGATTCAATTCAGTCCCAAAGAGGAAAGTGAGCCACGCAGTTGGACCAGCAGGTTTACCGGGACGTATTATACAGAAAAGAGAGGGTAAGAGGAGAGAGCTTCGCTGGAGCAGCCAAAGAAAGGGAATTGAAGGTGGGAAGGATGGCTTTCGGTAGGGCGCGGATGTGGAAGTGTTCAAGGCGGATCTGCCTTGATGGAGGTAGAACCTCCTACCACCAATCATCGTTAGCATTCAGCGTCATCTTCCCTGTTAACTTCGGGTTTATCGGCACCTCCCGCTTGGCTTTTTCATTTTTTTTTTTTTTATTATTTATTTTTTTTTCCCTTTTGCCTTGCCTACTTTTGGAAGTTTTGCATACTTTGCCCTCCATGTTTTGATTCCCGGAAAATAAAATGAAAAATAAGCAATTCTTGAACGTTGATAGTTACACTTGTGTTACACTTGTATACTTCATGAATCGAATGAACCGGGAGATCGTGGGAGATCGTCTCCCTTATGCCCTCGAATCGATTCATAACTTCATAACCGCTGTGCACGTCCCCCTGACCACCATGGATCATTTTTATGCATCCTTGGCTGGCTCCTCGTATAGAGATCGTCGGCACTATTGCATATAGTCTAGTCACTTTAGGTCGACATACAAATAGGCTAATCGCCCCCCTTCATTTGCTTGAATTTGAATCCTGAATAATCCAATTTCAAATGGTTTCCTTCCTTGTCAGGTGATTCTAGTCACATGATGTTATGGTCTAAATGAGAAGATGTCACGGTGGACCTCTACTGTATTCGAGAGTAGTAGACACTTACACTTCGTCTTCTTCAACTCCATCCAATCCTTCGGGCTGTCTGTGGCGCATGCACGTTACTCTTGTTTTGCCCGGATGAAGATATACTTCCTTTGTTCTTGAATCTTCTTCTTGTGCGATACTCTTAGACAGAATATATATCGAATGGAATTCTTCAACACTCGCAACGTACCAGACCGGTAACGCATTGAATAATATATCACAGGTAGAAGAGACTTTGAATTGTCTGGTCATCTCCCATTGCTTGCTTCCTTATCAGAATCCGCGATAAGTTGGGGGCTTCCATATTAAATTGAGCTTCTCCATAGTATTCAGGGGAAGGAATGACATCATAGGGTCCGTGCATCATGTGTGTATCAAACTGTCCCGCGCTTACGCACTCACGCCGATCGATCTAGACTCCTGAGTCCCATTCTTCTTCCCCTCTTCCTCATCCCACCATCGCATTGAATTGGTGCTATCTCAACTATCATGGCTGACGAAGAAGACCCTATTGTTCAGGCCTTGCCCCCGGCAACCGATTACCTTACTTACCTAACCTTGTTGGAGTACCAATTGACCCCCGCTCGCTTGCCCACTCTCCACAAGCTCTTGCAGGATGAGGTCTTGACAACCAATATTGGCTGGGATCTGGTTCAGCTGCTGCTGCCCATGCTCCCTCAGTCACTCGAGTGTCTCCAAGATATCGCCCGCTTGGGTAATCCTAGGGAGGTCATTCTAAGGGTGTCTGAAGCCCTTATGCAACTGCAACCGGAAGACGAGGACGAGGACGAGGAGGAAGAGAACGAGACAGCAGAGTCCTCTGCTGCTCATGATACGGATACCGCCGATACGGAACTGAAAGCTGCGGCTGACAGAGATGTGGAGACATCGGATATACAGAATACCCTCCCACGACATGTCCTGAAGTTCAATGCCCTCGTTGCTATGTTATCCGTGCTTCATTCCCGCATCCAGACGAAATCCCCCAGTCGCTTTTTCGCAACCTCTCTACAAGCCGTATTGGAAGCGTATACCCTGATGCCGACGAACGAGACAACCATTGCTCTTCTGGAGTTCTTCAGAGACGTGTCTCCCTCCAAGCGGCCTGCACCACCACCCCGTGCTGCAAGCGAGTCCAGCGTGCTACGAGTCTCCGAAGCCTCTGCGCCGGACCCAGAGGCAGAGGTCCAATCACCTAATCCGAGCAACAACGAGCCAGCGCTCATCAAGAGATTCCTCCAATTCGGCCTGATTGAGCTGATAAAGTCCTACATCCTGAGCTTTTCGGGGCCTATGGACCCAGGAATGTCTTGGACAATTCGTTTGCAGGAGAAACTTCAGCCAAGACATCCGGCGGGCCAAGTGTCGGAGACGGAAGTATTTGCCAATAACAAAGAACTAAGGGAGAGGGACATGATTTTGGGGAAAATTACGGTAGGTCCATCCTATGTGCCAACAGATGTAGTGTCTGACTTTGTAGGCTCTTTCTCGAGACTTCGGGCTAGATGACAAGCAGCTTCTCGCAGTCGTCTCCCAGTCGGCGGACAAACATCCTCAGCCGCTGGACTTCGACGAACCACCTAGAAACGTGGAAGAAATCCCGCTCGAAAGGCATGGTGCTCTACTTCTTTTGGCTGCCCGAGCTGCGATGGCCGAACTATTTTCGTCGGGACAGGTTACCCCGATTGCCGTCTTCCCTGAGCTGGCTCAGATATTTGACAACTTTGTCGGCGGACACGATAAGCCGGACGAAATTGCCTTTGGGCAACCTCAGGCGCTATTGGACTCTCTGCTGACACTGACCGTCTTCTCTATGCAGCGATCAATCGGAGAGCCTTCCACCGAGTTAGATTTCCGACGCTTCATCTTGTCCCTAACTGCTTGCACAACGCGACAAAGTTACAACTCCATTAGACGAATCCCTGGCGCCATTCTCCATAGTCACCCATGTCACATTGTCCGCTTCAAGACTATTCGCCAGGTTCTTGAAGATGACCGTTTCCAACTGATCAGGGACAGTGCTATAGGGTGGCTGAAAGATGAAATTCTTGACGCCAACAAACAGCGCTCTAGCTCACCCGAATCCGACATATTCATCAACCCGCATTACTTCTCCATCCTTTTCCCCTTACTCTTTAACTCCTCCGAGCTACGCCTCAACGTCTCGTCCGACATCGTAGCGTCATGGATCCAATTCTCTCAAACTCTCACACCATCCATCCACGCCGCCCTGAGCCTCTACTACATTCTTCTTTCATCCTCCACCCTCCGTGCTCAACTCCAACTCGAAAAAACCTACATCTACTTCCGCAACCGCTTTCTGGAGCCACTCAAGTCTCTCCTCCACGCCTTCGAGAGTGATCTCACCCAGAACGGCGGCGACGGCAAGATCGAATCTGCCGTCGGCGAGGACATGTGTCAGGTGGGCATGGCCCGGTCCGTGGGCCTCGTTTCTCATGCTGTAGAACAGGTGGAGGATGCTGTGGGCGATGCCTTCGTTGGTGCCGATGACGAGCTGCAGGAACCCAGCATGGATGACGTGGCGAGGGTTGACAAGATCCGGAAGGAGACTGCTTTGTAAATACACGGTCTACTTGCATTATGATATATTTATCTTTCACACTTGTCGCTACTGTACATACACGACCAAGCTACAAATGAACTCGTGATTACAAGACAAGACATGACTCTTCCCAATCATCTTTTTTTTTTCCCTGTAGTCCTTGTACAGAACCTATTACCTCGACACAAACCAGAACCCTGTAGATATATATATATACATATATATATCACATCGACATATTTATTAGCATCATATTCGGCCTTCAACCAAAAGTCAAGGTTGCCAGCATGGCCACAACTTTACCGTTAAGTCCAGTCCCACCAGCTGTAAAAATATATATAACCACCTAACCATCAATCCAACCCCGTTAGGAACCAGTATCCCTATTACAACAGTAGGAAAAAAAGAAAAGAAAAAAAAAACTAATAGTACGTTAGACACTATTAAACCCAGTATTTCCTTTTTTTTTTTTTTAAAAAAAAAAAATGTGGTGACTGAACATCCGCTGATAGTTAATGTGCTAATGTGCTATAGTTCTGGCAACATGCAAACATTCTACCACATAAACGTCCAAACCATAACCCCCGACTAGGTAGAAACTAACAATTCAAAAATATTCTACGTTATATATATACCCAGCCCACCCCCCAAGGCGCATAAACAAAGTGTACAACCTCTCTCCCGAGATCCAGGAACCAAGGTAACGCAAACAACCCCTGACCTGTATCTCATGAGGAACCAGGCTACGAACATGCACGACGCGACCAGTAACAGTGCAGACTAAAACATAGTAGCATGGTACGACTGCAGTACTACCTTACTCCGCATAATCTCTTCCAGCCCTACAATTAGATCTAATGCTACAGTCAAAAGTAAGACAGATTCAAATCCAAAGTATGTATGAAATTCAAACTATCCCATCCTACATGACCATGAATTCCCAGCAACCAAGACGACGACAAGACCACAAAAGGAGCGGATTCGAACAGGATAGTGAAGAAAGAGGTAGGTACACAAACAACCAATCATCCCCTGCCCAACGGGCCCGTTGGTCTTCCTCCCAAGTGTTCGAGGTATTTTTTTTTTTTTCGTGGATTTTCTGAGTATAGGTTGAGTGGCCCTGACTAGTAGCCAGGGGTAAGGGTAGAACGGAACGCGAGAAGTAAGCCGAGTTGGTCATGTTTGGTCTTGAGGCGCGGCAGTTAACGAGCTGGTTGTTGTGGTGGTGGAATTCTGGCTCGGGGGGGGTGAGTTATTGGGGCGCGTTTACATGATAACGCAGCCGCCGCCGGGGGAAGCTGGTTTTATTAGTTGTTTCTGTGATGTATAGAAAGGGGGTGGTGGAGAGTGGATATACCCTTGACAATAGCAGTGTTCTTGACGGAGGGAGACATGGTGATTGATTGGGTTTCCTTGGAAGGAGGATTGGTTTGGATAGAAGATTTGGTTGTTTGAAGATGAGTGCGGATGATGATGATGATGATGATGATGATGATGAAGAGAAGAAGGAGTGATCTGGAGGGTTCGAAGGGCCTTTATATCTCTGTCTCTAGGGTTGATTTGGTCAGTGAATAGTGCATCCCGATGCCATTCTGTTCGAGATAGATTGTTGAGATTGGAAGCATTCAGCACCACGGGTTCGTGTGGCCAAACATTGATAGGCCGCGGACAAAGAAAGCAAAGCAGGAGAGGAGTCGACAGGTCAATTGGAAGCTAATTGGGGATTCAGTGAATGCATTGACTGGCCCACGGCGTCGGGGCGTTCTTGATATTGTTCTCGACGCGAAGGCCAATCATGATGGCGGCTTCCCGACGGTGAATGGAGAGATGGTGGCAAAGGCGGTATTGATCAACATTGCCTTTCTTTCTTCAGTGCGACTCGGTGAATGCAGTCAGTCGGTTATCTTTATCCAGTGAGATTCCTACGTTCGGTCTTTAACGCAGAGCTTCCAGCGGGCCCAGATCCCCGTATCTCAGTCGGCGGCTTCTCTGTCCCGCGGCACGTGGCCCACATGAGCCGCTTGTACAGATACATACTTTCCTATTTCGGGCACAGCGAGGAAGAGGGAGGCAAATAGTGGAGATTTCGAGTCAGTAGTTTCGTACGGGAGGAACAATCCCGAGCCCTTGCGAAAAGGCCTGGATATATTGTTGTCCCAAGAACAATATGAAGGTATGAAAGAGTCTTGGCATCAATAACCGGGTTTGGTAAGGTACGCATAAAACTAAATGGTTCAATGATTGAAAGCATAGATTAACATCCCAAAAAAGCAAATAGCCAAATTCATTTAGTTAGAATCTCAATGGAAAGAATCCACGCAAAATACCAAAAAGCGACATTAGCTAGATCATGTGTAAAGCGGCTCCGTGATATCGTTCAATGCCAATCCCGACTTCGCAACGTCCTCTTCAATCAAGAACATCAACGGCATCTCTACGAGCGTGCCCTTGACCTTACTGAGCAGTTCCTTGACTTGTCGAACCCCCTCAGGACCGCCTGGGAAGTCATCCCGCACAACGTGTCCATACCGGTACCGGGCGGGTGGCGCATCCTTCTCTTCGCCATACGCTTGCTTGTCCGCCTTGTTGAAAAAGTAGCCATAGAACTCCTTATACGTGGACCAGTTGCGTACGCAGTCATCCGGAACAGAGTGGAACACCTTGCGGAAGACCTCAGTGTTCGTGTTCGCCCGGCTGTTCCACAGGTTATGAAGAGTATCCGCCAACGGATCTGCCACAAGCCGGCTCTCAGGAGCGTCAAAGTCAAAGTCATTGGGCACACCAACCGGCTCGAAGTTGGCATCGGGGCGCTGGTAATCCTGTGGCGGCAGAAGGCCGAGGTGCTTGCGGAACAGCTGGCGACGCAGGGAAGCTGCAAAGCGGCTAGCTGTCCAGGGCTTGCCGTTCATGGTGGACTGAAGAGGAGTATAGTCCTCAATGATAATAGCAATCTCAGAATCGTGATCACCAAGCTGAGACCGGTCGTTCAAGTTGGCAGAACCGCAAACAACCACGCGGTCGTCGGCAATCATGACCTGTGCCGTTAGTGCATGAAATCAAGCCAGGACGGGAGAGAATAAACATACCTTTGAGTGAACGTAGAGTTCCTCAGTTACAAAAGCGTCAATCTCGGCCTCAGGAGGGCCATCCCAAGGGACGTTGCGGATATCCTCTCCATTGAGCATATAGCACGAACTGACACTGTCCCATCGGCCAGAGGCAGTCTTGGCACCAGGAGCCTCGCGAGCACCCTGCTGATACTGCTGGAAAGGAGCCGTGGTATCGAATGCGCTCCGGGGAGCGGGAGCTCCTGGACCATATCCACCCTGCCCAACAACATTGACGTCGTGCTGCTTGCGAGCATCTTCATAGTCGACACCACTTCTCTGCTCGGCTTGGACGAGCGGACCGCTAACATTGATACGGTCGTAGTTACGGAGATTGTAGAACCGGATATAATCCATAGGGTTGTATCCCGCCTGATGAACCAGCTCCATGATACTGTTTCCGCCACGGTTGATGCAGTTGTACTGAAACTCCATAATAGCCCGGGTGCCGAGAGTAGAGTCATCTGCCAGGTCACCAGCAAAGCAGGGAACAGATGGAATCACCACAATCATCTTCCACTTCTCCCCGGCACGCGCTGCCCGCAAAATACGCTCGACGATCGCAGCACCGATCTGGTTCTTTACCGGCTTTTGGGAGTCCTCGCCAGTAGCTGTAATGAAGAATTGATTCTCGATATACACGAAGTGTTCACTGTTCCGGATGATCGCAGCATACGCATCGGCAATTGAATGTTCGGTAGGTGTGCCATTGCTCCACTTAGAACAGCTACGGACAATCTGACAGCACATGTTGCCGCGAGGCTGAGAAGGATGCCCGAATGAGCTCAGACGATCCTGGTACTGATGGACTTGGCCAGCCAATTGACCACGAAGGACATTTGAGTATTGAGTGAACTCATCTCGGAAACGACGGGGGATAAGGCCCGAACCTCTTTCCCTGTCACCGTGTCCGCGCGTGCCCTCGTAATGGTCATCAATGCCACGTGTCTGAGAGTGCGACGGCTCTTGGCCCGCGGGAGGAGTGTAGGCTGCATACTGTGGTGGTTGGCCTTGCCCTTGAGCTGGAGCTTGAGAATGCGCCGGATCCTGGGTCGGGGGAGGAGGGAAGTATGGTGCTTGGCTTTGTCCCTGGGCTTGCCCCTGAGTTGGCGTCTGGGAATACGACGACCCCTGGGTTGGGGGAGGACCGTAAGCTGCATACTGTGGTGGTTGGCCTTGTCCTTGAGCCGGAGCTTGAGAGTGCGCCGGATCCTGGGTTGGTGGAGGACCGTAAGCTGTGTATTGTGGTGGTTGGCCTTGCCCCGCTTGACCTTGTCCTTGAGTTGCATTTTGAGAGTGTGGTTTCTCCTGGGTTGGGAGAGGAGTGTGGCCTGCGTATTGTGGTGGTTGGTCGTGTCCCGCTTGCTCCTGGGTCGGAGGGGGAGCATAGTATGGCGTTTGGCTTTGTCCCTGAGTGGGTGTCTGAGAGGGCGGCTGTTGGTAGTACTGTGCTTGGCTTTGTCCTTGAGACGGAGCTTGAGGATGCGACGATCCTTGGGTCGAAGGAGGTGCATAGTACGATGCCTGGCTTTGGCCTGGTGTTTGGCTTTGGCCCTGAGTTGGACCCTGAGATGGAACAGGACTCTGAGATGGTGGCGGCCCAGGAGGAGGTGGTGGGAAAGATTGCCCAGTGTAAGTGTAGTTTTGGGCATTATCCGTGGACTGTGGAGCGCCAGAGGCAGGCTGCTGGGGGCTGGAGGCAGCTTGGTTATTTGCCGTGGAGGCAGTAAAGTAGCTTGAAAGGCCAGGCTGCGGCGAGGTGGCTGATTGCTGGTAGGCTTGGTTACTTGTTGCCTGTGCCTGGGGCTTGGCCGACAGACCCGGCTGTGGCGATGCCGGAGGTTGCTGGTAGCTAGATGCCCCTTGGCTGCTAGTGCTGGGCCGGGGAGATGTACCCTGTTGCTGCTGAACACCCGGCTGCTGTGGACGGTTTGATGAGCTGGGTCGACCGTACAATGTGAGCCTGGAGTATCTCGCGTCTTTGCGCGAATCATACTTCGTATCGTAGATAAAGTTCCAACGTTCGATGAAGTGTCGCCGCAAATCCTCCACGACATGACCGTGCAAGCTCACGGAGATATCAGACCAACCCATGCGGGAGGCTGTCTTTCGGTCGAGCTGATTCTTCTCCCAATTGGACACATCCTGGAAATCGAGCACCCTGGCATTGTTATAGTCTTGGCCTGGGAACACGCTCTCGTTGATGTCCTCCGGGTGGACATCGGCGAGTGCGTGCTGGTTTGTATCCCAACGGCCAAAACACATATCTAGACCTCCCATGAATGCAATCCTTCCATCGATGACGCAAAGCTTTTCATGGTGTGCCCAGTAGAGAACAACATCGTCGTGCATACCGTAGATGTTTTTGATGGCATCTCCTGACATTTGGACGAGGTTTTTCGCATCTAAGGACAAGTTGTGAAGAGACGTAGAAATGTCCTCGGCCAAACTTTGACGGTCCGGCAGATGATCAGGATGGCGGAACACGGCAATATTTGGGTGAAGGTCTTCAAGGCAGTGCTTGGTATGATGAGAAGAGACTGGTCAAATTAGCATGACTGGAATGATAATTGTTATATAACGCCTTGCTCGAGGCCCAACGTAGTACATACGAGTTAATGCCTGAGTGACTTCCTTGTACACAATGATATTGACTTTTACCCCACGTTGCGCTGCTGACTGCAACATCCGATCCAGTCGGTATTGCTCATTCTTCGTGGGAGGTCGTCTCAAGTAGAGCTCGGGAGACAGCCACCCTTTGGAGGATTATTAGCCAAAGCCTCAAGTACGATTATCGAGAGGACAGAGGGGCTTACAATCTAAGATCCAGATTGATTCTCTTGCGCTTTCTAACGCCTTCGAAACGGCGTAGAAGTAGGAACATCCGTCCACATACCACTTGACGTCGTTGCCTTGTCGGTCTGGGGAGAAACTGCCGAATCTGTGCTGTGTCTGCGGCTTTACCTGTCCATATTCGGCGTACGCCTCTGGGTCGAGTGCGGTTCCTATACGCTGACCGAGATCATTTCCGATTTCTGCAACAGCGCCCTGGAGTTTACCAAACAGCCCGGAGAGCTTATCTTCTTTGGGCGGCTTGCTCTGGGGCCTGCCCTGAGGCTTGTTAGGATCTTGATATTGGGGCTGAGGAGGACGGCCGTATGTGTTCTGCGACGAGCTTTGCTCATTGTAGTTCTGACCCTAATGGATGTCAGCCTTGCGGTACCATTGGCACATCGGTAATGTAATTGGCTTACACCGTAGTATCCTTGGTTGGATCCTTGGGGCTGAGGCTGCTGGCCTTGAGGCTGCTGGGGCCTGGGAGCTCCCTGCTGCGAATGATGGGTTTTATAAGTTTCCTTCAGCTTCTTGAAAGTATCTCCAACAAAACCCCTCGCACTTTCACCTTGACCGCCACGAGTCCCATCTTCGTTGTAATAATGGCCGTAGGCCAGGTGGTCGTCTCGGTTGGCCATGACCGTCGCTGACTATCTGCGACTCGGGTGGAATAGTCAATAAAAAGGATTGACGGATGCTACACAGCAGGAATGGTAGAAAACCTGCAGAGAGCTTTACAAAAAAGAAAGAGGAGAAAGAGAACGGGGAATTATCAGTATTTAACCAGAGTGAGAAAGATGTAAAGAGGATCAACTTGACCGTAATTAATTTAGTCCCGCCCATTGCCCCGCCATTCCGAGACACCAGCTGAATGGCCCATTTCTATTAGGCTGCCACTTACGGAGTAGTGTGGGCGGGTATCACAATCACCACTCGGAATCCAACTCTACAATTAAATGGCGCAATAATACTCACTACTATGGAAACATCTTCATTGTTTCCTATATTCCCAAATAGTAACTCCCTGCAGACGAAATATCTGGAATGGTGGCTGTGCATCCCACCTGAATTGAGTAGTACTTGATGTTGAGATGAGGGGAAAAAGAAACATAATACACTGAGTAAACAATACCCCACATCAGACCAGATCTATTTATGGTCCCGCAGTAAGGTACGTACTGTATGGTAAAAGCCCATGCACGCCATGATGTCACGTTACGCACTCGATGTGTGGCTGAGCCGTAGGGCTTACCTGTCATCTGCTCTGGAATTCATCGCTGCCTTCTAGAAACGTGGCTCAGTCTCAAAACAAATGGTATCAACCAACTTCCCCTCGTGGATTCACTTAAAAGTATTCAAAAAACGAGAAAAGACGGCTTGACCGCAGACTTCCTGACTTTCCGCACCCCCGGTTCAGCTGTCGACGGGACCCACCAAGTACACCTCACCGCAAATTCTAAACCCCTTGGGACTGTCCCCATGGCATGTGGCAGGGCAACGCCACTGCAACGTTGAATGATGCTCTTTTTTCACTACAATTTGAGAGTTCAGTAGCTTTACCTGGTTGGACAGAAATAGTCTCTTGAATCCCCCTTTGCCTCCGCTAATTCTACCACGAACCTTATCTTATCTTGAGTTTGTAGTGTCTTAGATCTGTCATCAAGGCATGTTGCTTGTTTGCAGAAACGCAGGACAAAGAGCCAACGTATGATTGCTTCTAGCCTGTCTGAAGGACCATATAATATTAATAGATATCTTCTGTCAATGTGCAAAACATCACCGAAGGGACACATGAGTTTCGCAACCCAGCCCTTTGAGGACCGTTCCGGCCACGTTTCCTCATGACGAAGTGATCGGCATAGAGTGGATGGGTGGCGCATTTGATTCACTACTTGCGGACTAACACTGTACTAGAGATATATTAAAGCCATTCAATGAGTAAAGCATATACAGATCCTTTTCACACTGTTCCATGCCAGGTACATATGCTAATAGCTTGTTCCACATCGCTACGTCGAAAACCAGGACTGTGGCCGAGGCACATTGCCTTGCCTACCAGCGCTAGTAAAATTAGGCACGGAGTCATCATCAGAGCAAAAGATCAAAAAGTAGACTCACCAACTATCAGAGCTCGGGCGTTGACCACCGACTGGGAGGAATTTGCCATGTTTTTAGGGGGCCGAACAAACAGGCGCGCATTTCTTTCCTGAAAGTAGTTCGCTAAGTCTTGGACGTCAAACCAATCTCCGCCGATTTCCCTTAGATTTTGCGGGTTGAAGCTGGGTAATGGACTCCTACTGGTTGACTGTGTTTGGTCAAAGTCTGACTGACATTCTGTCATTTGACTTTGAGTCGATGGTTGCGCAGCATGACTGGGTAGGCAAGACGGAACCCCCTTGAAGTTCATGTACGATTTCTTGTTTAGCCTAGCATGCAAGGCGCTCCTGAAGATACATGTGATACTTGCCCTAGTGAAAAGGGATAAAAGTAACCGAAACGGTCTTTTTAGGCGAGTTAAAGGGACAGAGGAATTGTCAAGTAATAATAATCCCTCGTATAGACAGGCGATCCTTAGTTGCTCTGTGAAGTATGATACTTCCATTTCAGCGACATTGCCAGGTTTGAAAAAGAATAGGCTGCTAGGATGATATCCCATAAGGCATGGTGAAGGCTGAACTGTTGAGAGCGAGGGTGGGCTTTCTCCCTCAGACAGAGGTAGATAGCCTGGCGAGATTGGTGAGAGAGAGGAAAGGCGAGAGCTCTCATCATGCGTGACAGTGCTTGGGTTATCCTCTTCGCTAATGCCCTTGGCCGAAGATAGACATATCTGTACCGTCTCACGCAGATGCTCAGTGAGTTCAGGATGTGATGTGAGAACCTCGGATTGGAGCAGAATATCACTGAATGTAATCATCGCCTCGCTCATTTTCTGCGCTGCAGCCTCCAACTGTGCAACACGTCTGTTTAGAAACTCAACACTGGCTTCTTTACGGGAGCGATACGCCCTTTGCGCCAGGCGGACCTGTGTCCGTCGCCGCTGTAACGCGTGAGTATAGGTGTTTTCACAGGGTAACTAAAAGCGTATTGACGCACGTCTTTCTTATTTTTGTCCATCCAAGTTCCAAGGGCTTTACGAGGACGACCCCGTTTCCTGGAAGGAGGTTTGGCTGCCTTCACACCGGTAGTTTCATGTTGCTGGAATTCAACTTGGGAGTCTGGCGTCAGGCACGGGCTGATAATGGTGTCTGCCGGCGCATTGCCATTATCCTGATCCATTTTACCGTAGGCGCAAGGTAATGGACAGTGATAATAGAATCGCTGAAGGTAACCGGACTTAGATTTCGTCCAACGTGCTGGACTGGAGGACTGGAGGGGTCAGATAACAGCTCCTTGCTTTTCAAGGAATCGTTATGGTACAGTTACGTTTGGTACTCGGAACTGGGCTTGTATGAATCGTAGAAGAAGGATTAAATTCATATGAGGGAATTTTGTCACCCAAAATCGTGCCAAATCTACAGGATTTGAGAACCTCAACCGATTCAAGTATACTTCATTTCAGTAATCTTTTCTCTCGGCTTTGGATCACTAATCCCGATATGTTGCGTATTTCTAGCCGAAGGACGAGGCATCTTTAGTGGCTGAAGCCACGATTAGGCTTTAACTTACGGGCCCGCTAGCATTTGGCGGGGATCGGTTAGGGTAAGCTGGGAAGAATAATACGCTTTTCGGCTCGAAGAGTTCAACCAACTAGCTGCCCAGGCCATACTCTCAACAGATCATACTGAGTTCTACAACCAATCACTCTTGGTGTAAAATGTCATGCACTACATCCTTCATCTCTACCCCGGGTTGTGTTGACTCATGATTCCCCATAGCCCCACCCGCCTTTTCTCTTCCATCCGTTTAAACGGATAACTTATGACATAGATTTTATATTCGCTGCTTCATATCATCAACGCCCACACTTGAAATGTAGCTTTTGACGGAATGGGCGCATTTTTTTAACTAATTCCCTCGGCATCTGCGGATGATCTGCTAGGAGAAGCAGCCGTCCATACGCCAGCTGTGTCTTATATGCCTGTAGATGTTGTGTTTTTACTTATATTTATTTGAATACCAACTCTTTCATGTTATTAGAGTCAATCTTAGTCTAAGCGTGGCCAAGGTGGGGAATGACTCTGCTGAGACTCTACCCGCTTTGGAGATTATCTCACTATTTTCGTGGCAAAGGGCGTTCCCCATAAGGTTGGAACATCGTATCTAGTGGAGAGCACGGTATTCTGTTGCGTGGAATGAATATTCTGTATTGGGAGAGCATCTCTTGATTCGAAAACATCGCCCTTAGTTCTCAGATGCTTTGTAACGGTGGCCGGGAGGGGTTGATGCACTGCGGTGGTGAGATTAGCCCTACTTGATCACTAATCATGAAAGGCGAAGAGGAAAATTTCCGATGATCTCCATTATTGATTTAGATTAGTCCAGCTCTCCGATTGATTACGTTAGGTCAGTAAAATTCCCGGCATCCACTCGATAGGAAATTGCCGTCAATCAATCAAGATTCTATTAGCCTATTGGACTCTAAGTATTTACTCTTACAGTAGATGCTTAGGTTTCCTCCTACCACACAGTTGCTTTGCAGAGGAATGGCGACCGGGCTGCCTTTTTTCCAATTGCATGTACATTGATTCACGGCGGTCCGAAGCAGTCATGGTGGATACGCGCATTGTCTAATGAATTGATACAATAGGCAATAGACTGCTCTGGGAAAGCCGCTTAAAGCTATCTATATTATATAGAATTAGAGACTATTGGCATAGTATCTCGGTCCCTTAGAGATGTTTGTTTCAGTCGCCTAGCTACTAGCGTTTTATGAGCTTCATCCTTAGCCAGCTATCTAAACGAGAACAGTTGATTATGGTGCAGTATATGTGGGAACATGACCAGTAGGCTTTAGACAAAACTAAACTGCGATATGTTGATCTAGCTTCAATCGCATAATCGAGGTAATCGTAGTATGAGACCCTATCAGCTTGCTTGTCCTCCATATATACAACGAGGCTATAATAATTTGGATCCTTAATTACGACAGCCTCTGCTTCATCGAGTACCTTGATCCGGTTCTAAGTTAGTAGGCCTAAACTCATATGCAACTTACTAGAAGAATAGGTCTTAAAATTGAAAGGCGTTTCGTTCTACATTAGTCGCCATCCTTGAAGAAGAATGAACTAGAATAATAACCAAAAGCACGGCCTTGTTGAACACAATAGATTCAGGAATTTGCAGGATATCTTCCTCCATTTTGCTTTATTCCCCCCTCCCCCGTTCATTACAAGAAGAATGAATGACATCAATACAATCCCAACTAATTCGCGGCCAAGAGTTCCACCAGTCGTTTCAAGCCATTGAAAAGTCCCCACCATTCGTTCTCATCCAACTCTCTGACAAGTCTCGACCATGCCCCCTGTTGCTTTGAGCCCTGCTCCCCCAACTCCTCCAACCATGTCACGATTCCAACCTTTTCCATCTTTTCCCATCGTTTCAGGCACACGTCCTCTGTGTAGAATTGATCTTCGACAATGCCAATAACGAAATCCGCCGTATCTGGTACAGTTGGTTCCCGGCTTCTATTCTTTTTAACTAGCTCAACCAGAAACTCGTTAGGGTTACAAGAAACTCTCAGCCCACCCAGGCCATGACGATCTTTGAAGATAAACTTGTATTCCAAGTTTCTGGCACATTCAAAGGAAGGTTGACTTGTGATAGTTTGTTGGTTGGCCTTAAGGTACGCAAAGTCTTCCGTGATTCGAAAGGTATATAGAAAACCGAAGGAAGCTTGAGAGGTTGGGATACAAAATATGTTCGCTTTCATGGGTTCTTTGGAGCTATCTATACTGATCTCTATGCGGCAAGATATTCTCATGTAGAATATATCTTTCCAGTGGGCATATATACCGGTAAGAGTCACATATATTCTGAGACACGAAACCACAATGTAAGCGCAATATTCCCTTTTTTACACATCCAAACAAAGGTAACTGCCATGTTTCACTTCCTGGGTCAGTAAAAGATAGGTTATAATGAATGAATGTGCCGGGAGCGACGGTGATACCCCTCGTGATCAATGGGTTCTTGGTGTTTCTGAAGTCCTTTGGAAATCACCAAGAATCACCGAGAGGCTTTATATGGGGCTTTCCTTGTATATGACATTTCAAAATAATCTTCCAATTGACGCCAATATCGGTGATCAATTTGTCGACTTTGCCACATGGGCTGTTCCTGAATATTCATTGTTCTGCTCATATAATCTTCTATGCGCCGCTACCGCTATCCTATTGTGTGCAATATTCCACCCCAAGACCGATTATATTGTTGAATGTTTAATCCAGGCGTCATATCAAACGCATAGGCCTACAAGACAAGGATTGTGACCGAGATACGATGGCTTTTTCATAAAGACTCACTGCGGTATCTATATTATAATCTAGAACTCCGATTATCGAAGAGATAACCCCATGCCGGAACCCATTGACTGACTCTATTTATTACATATAGTTATCTCTGCTATACATTTAAGATTCGACAGCTACTTAGTGATGCTAGACAACTACTTTCCAACGATACGTAGCAATATACCTGTCTCAAGAGTTACCGAAATGTTGGAGTAGGTTTAAACAGGAGTTTCCCCTCTATCGAGAAGTGACGAAATAAGTGTAGCACGACTCGCGTGGGCACTATGGGTTATGGAGATCTTTGGCCCGATTCAATCCAGCTTTCCCAGCGCAACGCGTGCGTGTTAGACCTTTAACAAACAGCACCCTCTAGTAGAAGTACATGGACCTTGTATACTTGAAAATTGAAAAAGTATCATATGGTCTTATTATGATCTGCTTGACCATTTTACTCTTTTCCTTCTTTCTTCTCACAGGGACAATCTCAGATATATCAGTAACAGCAATAGAGGAAGAAAGTACAAGCATGCTGCATGGCATATTTTCACGCATTTTCATTCTTAACGTCCATTTTTCTTTTCCATCCCAATTACATTCGTCTCGTCTTCCAAAACCAAACTAAATGGCAAGATACCAAGAGAACAAAGACCACCTCAGCCTATAATATGTCCTACAGTTTTACTTTGCTCAATTTCACGAAACCGATTCAGCTTTTCAACAGTACATCTCTTCGCATCATCGTCAGATGGTATTGACTGCTCACACGACAACATTATCATAACGTTACCGTCGTATATACCTTCCGGGTGATAATCGTCCAGCCACATAGGCTTAGGGAGATGGTGCTCAACACGACACAAAGCATCTTTGATCAACTCCGCACGGGTTTTCGTGGGGCCTTTGGAGTTAATCATGGGTAGAATCATGTACCAAGGCATTCTTTCGAAGTGTTAACCGCTCTGGGGGTGATAGTTAGCTGGACAGATATAATCGAATCTCGCAGACGACTCAGAATATAAGACGAGATAGGGTTAAAAGGAAGTTGAAGAAACAAGATAAATAGAGTGTACAGGGCCATCGGCGGGTATTTATGATTGCCTATTGTACTACACACCAGTTACACGTGGTTATTTCCCCTCCACGGGGTGGAGCCTGTGGCATTGGAGTGGTAAGTGCCTTTATAAGAAAGGAATATGGAGAGGTATCTCTTTGATCTATGTTTAGACTAAGGAAATTTCCATGCTTTTTAGCTTACGCATTCCTGAGATTTATAAGCGGTGTATAGCATTTCTATTCCGTCTTCTAGGTAGTGCAGAAGTACTAGCAAGGAGTTTAGAAATAAATGCTGATTATTGGGTTGAAGCGAAAAGTATTAGTATATACCTTGTTATAGAGGGAATATTACGCACGGCATTCTATTAGAAACACGGTGACTGGGTATCGCGGAAATACAAAGGACTCTCACAAAACGTCCAGCAACCAACGTCACGATCACCGCCTTGGCGGCAAACCACAAGAACATTCTGCAAGACCCAAGAGGCCTTCATCCGGGTTACTGGGTATAAAGGACACTCGCTCCATAGCGACGGTCATCGTTATCTCCTCTTTACGACCCCAAGGGACTTTAAATTTGCCTCTTCGCGTCTCTTTATTACATCCATCATGCCTGCGCCCGAGTCTCCAAAGCGCCGGGAACTACGAAAGGCGCTACGTGCCCTCACAAACTATGTTGCAGGTCTTAAAGATCACGAATTGATCTACATCAAGGGAAGACGGATAATATCGACATCCTGCCTATGGATTTAGACGAAAGCTCCGACTTCAACCCTACCTTCTTTACTACATGTCCTGCATCCAGATGACTCCTATGACCAAAAAACGCCGCCGGGGTTCTCTGAGTTTGACCCCAATGACACAGTTTTCAGTCAACCAATCGACTGTGCACGTAGAATGCTCGACTATTTTGCTCATTATACCGATGCCTGTATTTTGTTCGATAAGGACGAGGGTCTCGGTAGACTCTGGTCCAATATCGGGTAATTCTCCCCAATGCTTTCCTACCGCCTTGTCCACGTGTTGGACTTGGTTTCTCACACAAGAAACAGTATTGGCGATAAGCCCTTCTATTTCGCGGATTTCGGTCATCACAAGTTCCCCAGTTGTAACCATACACGCTTCTCAGGTCAAGGAGGGTCCATATCCACACGTCAAAGCCTTGATCTACAATAATCTGAACGGTGCCGACGGTACAATTCTGGGAGGCGAGGTAATGATGGCCCTGCGCTTGATAATCGCGCAAATGAGACGAGCCCGCTTCATCGACCAGATGACTGCACCGGTAATTAGGCTTCACCTACCAGCCCTTGAACAAATTCAGAAAACAAAAAGGCTAAATGCAGTGCGGTTTGACAGGTTCCCTTTCCGTTTATGGGACCCCAGCATGTTAGGCTGGTCGAAGCATATTTCAACGGTAGCTCTCCAGTAGTACGCCCATCCCGGCTTTTTGATCTGCATAAAAAGAACGAAGCTGCTATCAGAGAGTTCGGCCGGTGGTACTTTGGGGAGCCAGTTGGGAACACTAAGAAATGCCCGTAGTTGCGATTCTACCATTCTCTGCAAGTACGGTTTATGTTTATGATGGCATGTAATGAGATCAATAGTCGGCAGGCTTCCTGACGCTTAGGTTGGCTTAGGCGCTCCTTGGTTTCCCATTCCCTTTAGTGTTGTTTTTACTTTGCTCTTTATATTCAAGATATCCAAGGGTGCTGTCGCTCTCATCAGGTCTAATCGGGATACATGTAATTCCTATCGTCTAGCTTGTGACGCTGTTCTTTAAGTCTCAAGCCTTCCACATCATGAGACACCCACCCCTATATTTCACACTCCCTATATTACTGACTGTTTTGAAAGTGATTTTCAGGATATACTTATTCATCTGGGATAACAGGAAGACATATCTCACAGTTCTCGTGCGGTTAGTACAGTGCTAACTGACTCATGAATAGGAAGATGGAGGACTCAGAACTAGAATGACAAAGTCCTGAGGAGACCGTTTAGCTTGAAGATGCACCTATAGTAGCTATTGTGATATTAAGGATAACTGTTGCGTTGAAGGTTCCTCTCAACCCACTTCTGGGTTGTAGCTTACCAACGGCCATATTTGGCCACACCGGAATAAGCCTTTGGGGTGTAGGAAGGCATAAACGCCTACAAAGCTTCCTTCTCCAGTCGTGCCAGCCTCTCCATCATCTCGCCTGAGAATATGTACATGAATTGAGGTAACTTCTTAAGAACTGAGTGAAAGGACTGGAAGCCTCTGAGAGTAGAAACATGCTGGGCGGCAAATTGCGCTAAAATACTCTGCAATGTAGAATTTGCAGGATTATTTGGCCTATAGACATATTCAATAAGTTCAATAAAATCCGCATCGTTCCACTCATGTATCAGATTTGATACTAGCCTTTTCTTGGCGAGATCTTTAAGTCCTTTGATGGCGTACACGTCAGCAGTAACATGCATAATAGCGTTAACATATGTAGGGAGTGTGGGGCCTTGCCCTCCGGATCCCTTTACTTCAGCGGCGAGCTCGTAGTCGTCATAGTCCCCCCGGTAGAGATAGTCAAGCATCGCTTTGACGACGAAAGGATGATCGATAATCCTCATCTCTTTTGATCCATCCTGGATAGCCGTTTCGAAGAAGCTAGACTGTGAACACACAATGCAACAATGTGTATTAAAAGTTGACAATCCACACTTAATCTTCAGGTCCGAAAATGCCCCAGTATCCCGAATCCTTTATCATATTAGATAAAAATTTAAATGAAGGTTAGGAAAAGCTTACTTTGATAGCAAGAAAAGGAGAGAGCTGGATCCTGTAGCTACACTTTGGGCACAGAGGGCTCTGTCTGATTGAGGAGGGAACGAGGCTGGCCTCGGGCTTTCTGGTTTTGGCTCAGGTTCTGGTTGCGCAGGATGTTCAAGTTGAGGCTCGAGCTCTTCGATGACAGGCTCAGGGGTTGGAGTAGGAGACCATGGAAAGTCCTTTCCAGGAACAGGCAATCCTTTCTTTGTAAGTGACTTCTCTCGTTTCTTCCTATTTTTGGCACTGAGATCGTCCCAGTTATTATAGAGTGGATCATCTGGCATTTTAGCTGCGGCCAAAGGCTCCGGCTCCGGCTCTGCTGCTGGTTCGGATTCTGGCTCTAGCTGTGGCAGTGGCTCAGGACTTTCCACTACAAGCGCCTGCAGTCGGGGAGGCCATTGGAAGTCCTTTCCAGGAATAGGCAATCCTTTCTTTGTAAGTGATTTCGTTCGCTTCTTCCTATCTTTGGCACAGATATTGTTCCAGTTATCATAGAGTGGATCATCTGGCAGTTTAGCTGCGAATGTAGGTTCCGGGTCTGGTGCTGCTACTGTTTCTGGTTCAGCCTTAGGCTCGGGCTCTGGCTCCTGTACTGAGGGTGTACATCGTGTCCAGTGTTCCTCCGTACTAAGGTTGCTGCGATCTCTGGAAGAGAATCCGAACCCGGGTGAGGTATCGAAGGAGTTGTCGGTAGGTGTGGACCACAACTTGTCCCCATTTTGTGGTCCGTTATCCATACCTAATAAAGCTAAATAGGGACAAAAATACGAGAAGAAGCAGAAGAAGAACAAGAGAAGGAGGAGGAGAATGAAGAAGAAGAAGACAAGAGCTTCCGGTCAAAAGGCCACTCGCACGATGGGACTAATGTTGTGAGAGATTATAGAACCATCCGCAGTACAGTGAAAGTGAAGGAGAAAGAGGGTTGAATAGCAGGAAGAGAGAGGGATAGAAAATGGTAGTATAGCGCCCGTGAGCATGGGTACCAGGGCCATGACTCGCGTGCTGAGACTGCCACGTCACAACAACAAGCGGGGTACATAGCGACCATGTAATGATTTACTCTCTGGCTATGCATAATACACGCAAAAGCTGGGAGCATATGGTCTTGTACTGTTTGGTTAGCCGATATGATCACATTCTGTGAAGCGGAGGCCCTGTTTGACTGTATATTGAATGGTTAATTCCCTCAAGCGCGTTCCTCAATCCTATCAGGAGAGGTATGTACTGGGAGATTTCGCAAGGCTGTAGGTAAATAGACCTTATGGCTTATCCAGCTATCGGAGGAACTTTCACTAGGGTCACTCTTAGACGATGTCTAACTGAATGTCCCAGACTTCAACACTGCACATTCTAAGCCTGATATATGCATGAACGTGCAGAGTATCAAGGACATGACAATTTCGACCCTGGGCTCTCGGGTGTCTCGGAGTGTTAATTAAGAAAGGCGTGAAAGCAGTCTAAACGATTCTCTTTGAAGAACAACGCACATAAACAGATAGCCAAGAAGAGGAGAACAACTCAGCTGCCAGATTTCTTCCCCGCTTGTTCCATTCGAACAGAGTTTCAATTCTGTCATGCGAAATATAGCTCCTTTGAGCAAAAGCTCCCTCAGTATGTGAGAGACCTTTTCAGACTCTCTGATTTCTAGCTGTAGAATGCATCGAGCTTAGTACATGTGTCAAAGCAGTCTTTCCACCACGCCTGGCACATTTACATCCACACTCCTTGTGATAAGCGTGTGAACAGCACTCCACTGCCGTTGTGCAACGGCAGCGACTAATATTGGGTAGCCGTTCAAAGTCAAGGAGTTCGGATCTGCTCCACCGTTGAGTAGCTGTTTAACATGACTCCAATCTTTGTACGTTGCTGCGTAAGACAAAACCGTATTTTGAATACACGAGGGATGTTCCTTCACTCTTATGTCCGCCCCGCAATTTGCCAAAAATCCAAGCATATCCCATTTCGGGTAGGAGGCTGCTGAGAGAAGTGCAGTATAATGTCCTCATCTGTAACACTTAAGCCCGCGCCCTCTTTCGCTAACACCTGCACCGTACTCCAGGCCTGAGCAGCTGCAGCGACGAGACTAGCTCGTCGTATGTCGAAGGATTTCCCATTAGGGTCTATACCCTTGCTCACCAGCAATTCAACGATATCCCATGCAGTGGATTGAATGGCAAGTTGAAAGGTAAGGTGAAGGTGGAACTGTTGTGGGTTGAGTTCAACCGTAGCTGGAACCAGTTGAGGCTCGCCTTGTGCTGCAATACCTTCAAAACCCAACCTTCAACAACCTCACGCGCAAAATAGATCCTTTCTCTCATATTTGGACCGCCAGCAAGCGATGGATATTGACCCTAAAATCGTCTCAGATGCGTTGCTGTCTTATTGCATTCGTTGACGATTGACTTCAATATTTTCTTTACACTTGTATTATAAGGAGAATTGTTGCCTGCTATATAGACGCATCGTACCATTGCTTATAGCGATTTGTACTGGGATAAATGTCCTTGAATTCCTGTGGAGAGTTTCTGTATGCCTCATATGCCTTCACTAGCATGTCAAAGATAGTTTTGACATTGCCGATACTTAGCCCAATGGAAGAGGCCACTTTTGTGTCTTTAGCCAACGAGGGTAGCAGGATGGACTGTCTCTGACTCGTATATAGTTGACAGATTTGCTATAGCTTTAAGAGTACATATGGAGGTGATTGAGGATGACGCAGGCTTGGCCCACATTCCAGTTAAATATTTTGGCCTGGAAAATCGAAGACCATCATAAGAAAGTACTGGAGGCTGTGCCTTTGCTATGGTCTCTCGCGCAAGGCTGACCCTGGCTAAGCGTACAGACATTCGTAGAGATCGGGAGGTTGGGCGTATCACCATGTAACAGGGTCAATCAAAAAAAACACAAATAAAGTGCCATGTGGTGATCAAGAATTGAAAGAGACCTTATAGCTAAAATTGCTGCATATCTGAGTGGAACCTATTAGCTGACTGTGGGTTTCATTGCTACTGTATCACGGATCGACGCAAGTATTCGGCTTGGGTATCAATGTAGCAGACCAAGCCTCATGCAGAGCCTGATGAGAGGCGAGGCGCTGAGTACAATGCTCCTAGATGATATGATTTTCCTGACAAGGCCTCCTGAACATCTCCTTTCGGAACGCATCTGTTCCAAGAGCAACATTGCGTTTCATCATCGCACAGCCATGTTGGAACATGTGCCTGGTTCTTAAAGAATTGCTGGCCTTGTAGCTTGGTGTAAAAAAGGAGAAACCGATGGTTTGAGATTGATTGTACCTACTGATAGCATCCTTACAATTAAGCACAACTGAGTCACTCAAAAACGCCCTTTCCGGTCGGGGAAGATGTTGGTTTTGCGGTTGCGCTGTAATATGAATATCGCTATCCCCAAAAGAGAATTGAGCCCTTATTACGCTTGTGCCAAAATCTATGCAATCGCACTACCATATATAAACTCACCAGATCATCGGTACCTGTGGCTACGAGAGCAAAGCATAATATTGCTACATTTGGTGAAACACATTTTAGTATCAATAAACGTGACAAGGAAGCTCTTGACTGTGAACAGATACGGCAATCTATGTCGACCTAGGTCCTGTGGATGAAAGCGGAATTGTTCCATCTTCGTCATTGACTGGACCTTATACACCCCACCAGAAGGCCATCTCGTTGCCTTATTCCTGTGAAGGCTTAGCATGACATTAAAAAACTCGACTTGCCTCCAATGCACTACCAAAGTATATCTTCCAGGAGAGGTCATTTGGACTTTCTTTGGCCGCTGAGACATGGGAATAGACACTAGAGATAAGTAAAGATTCTCTTCACCTAAGCGATAGCCTGCAGCGAACCGGAAGAGAGTTTATCAACCCTACTAGTTCTATAGTAAACGGTTCTTGTGTACTTGCCTAATAACTACAGGTAGTTAACGTAATCCACGGCCGAGCCGGCACTACGGCCGAGCCGACAGGTTTTCCTCTACACCACCATCAAATATCATCCAACGCGTCATTTCTTTATTATTATTATATAAAATGTCACTTTCACAAGAAAGCCGAATGCAGATGGCTATATCTGCTTATAAAAGTAAAAAAATTTCATCTCAATCTAAAGCTGCAGAGGTTTTCGGTGTATCTAGAAGCACACTTCAAGATCGGCTACGCGGGATTAATTCACGATCAGAAACACGTGTCAATGGCCATAAATTAACTATTTTTGAGGAGGAAGCTCTTGTACAAAAGCTTCTAGATGCAGATAAACGAGGCTTTCCAATTCGGCCAGAGTTTCTGTGTGGAATAGCACAAATTCTACTTTGTAAACGATTACAAAACCCTACAGTAACTCTAGAAGTTAGCTGGACTTATTCTTTTACTAAATATTGTTCTGAACTTTGTATATAATATACAAGACGAATAATCTATTAGCGTGTAAAGCAGGAAGATCCAAGAGTTATATTACCTTGGTTTAAGACTGTTCAAGCAGCTATTGAAGAATATAGTATATATAAAGATAATATCTGGAATTTTGATAAGACTGGCTTTGTAATGGGTCTCTGCTCTACTTCTAAAGTAATTACTGCTGTTGAGCGTAGTGAGCGACTATACAGAGTTATCCAAGGTAATCGTAAATAGGTTACAATCATTGAAACAGTCAATTTAAAAGGTATATATATACTGCCAGTTATTATACTTAAAGCAAGCTATCAATAAGCTGTCTGGTTCCAAGAACCTAAGTTTACTAAAGACTGGTGGATTACAACCAGTAAAAATAGCTGGATAACAGATTAAATAGGTTTTTGCTGGTTAAGAGATATATTTAAACCCTGCTCTAAGCGCTATATAACCGGTGCTAAACGACTACTTATTCTTGATAGCTATAGCAGCTATCTGACTACTGATTTCGATGACTTCTGTAAGCAGAATACTATTATCTGTCTCTGTATGCCTGCGCATGCTTCACAGCTTCTTCAACCGCTTGATATTGGTATTTTTGGCCCACTTAAACTTGTATATAGAAAGCTCCTTGAAGAATATATAGTTGCCGGCAATAATTATATTGATAAAGAAGATTTTCTATCTCTATATCCAGATACGCGCACTAAAGTATTTACTTCAGAGAAGATCTGCAGTGGTTTTGTAGAAGCAGGACTTAAGTTATTTAATCAAGAGTGTGTTCTTTCAAAGCTAAACTTTTAACTATGTATACCAATACCACTACTAGCTGAAGGCTCAATTTCCTCTGCTTTTTAAACTCCTTAGAATACCCGTCAGCTAGACCGGAAGATCCGCAGTCTATAGAATAGTCTTAATACAAAGCAGAAACTTTCTAGTAGTCCAATTGCTCATATTCAACACCTTGAAAAAGCTGCGTAAATGGCTATATATACCAATCTTCTCTTATAACAAGAAATCAAGGCTGTACAAGCTAAGAACGAGCGGAAATATAAGAAAAAAGCTAGGAAACGTACTATAATAGGGAACGATAGCCTTTTAATAATACAGAAAGGAGAAAATCGCGTTCAGCAGCTTAATACACAGTTTAATAAGCAGCCTGAGCAACCTATATCTGTGCCTCGACGACGGGCCCCTCAACGCTGCAGCGGCTGTGGGATCATTGGATATACTATTCGAAATTGCCCTAATAACTAGCTATTTTTTTATATTTTTAATGAGTCAAATTTAATGGCGTTTGTTGTTGAAAAGCTTCAAATACTGGTAGATAGTTTGAAAACCTGCCGGCTCGGCCGTAGTGCCGGCTCGGCCGTGGATTACGTTAGTTACAGCCGCTTAGGTAAGGTCTATAATTAATAAGCAACACCTTACCTAGTTAGGTTTAGCCTAGTATTGGCGGAGAACCCGCGGGTCGGGGGAGGCCTAAACCTAGCGGGT